TAATACGACTATAGAAAAAGTAACTTTAATACTGCAATACCAGATTGACTTTAATGGATTTTAACATGCTTGACTTATAATTCAATTTTAACTTATAAGCTACAAGTATTCGGTACATAGTATTCGCAGTCTTCAAAGTGCAACGAAGTGTTCTGATATCAACAGTATACAAATACTCCGAGTTCCTTACAATATCGGTGACAATATAGTTACTGTCATCACCAACCAAATCACCAAACCAGGCGGAACTTCTGATTGAAAAATGTAAGTGTATCAATAATTATTATTATATCTATTATATCAAAATATTCTGTTCATTTTCATCGTTCGTACTTGTGATCCGCTTGTTAATTTATATGTTTGTTTCAACCGATCTGCCACTAGAGGTAAATTCTCAAGCAGCGCTATTTCATTGGAATATGAGAGAACCAGTATTTGTCCAAACACTTGCCCTGCGCAATGGATATTACTCCATTGGCATACTTAAATAGTAATAATTGTATGACTAAATTTAGCCTTCTTATCTTTATTTCAGGTCAGACTCAGAGTGTGAATACTCAACAACATCGATCAGCACTGGACAAAAAGCAAAATCCTGCCGCAAACCGTCCGCAGAAAGCAATGGGAAACGCAAGATACAGTCACATACAACATCAGCTCGAGCAAGGTAACTAATATTTTTCATAAACTATCCACCTTTGGTTAAATTATAAAAGTAAATTGTATGGACACGTATCTACCATTTGAATTACATATAATCTTTTAGTTATACATAGGAGAGGAGCATTTTCTAAGGAAATATCTGAGCTGTCTTTCATAAAATATTAAATTATATTTTTAACCAAGTTGATAATATTTTTCCCCCTTGTACTTCTCGTACTAAACATTAACTAATAACATCTTTTTTTTGTTTCAGTAAGAAAACCAATACTGACAGCGACATATTCGGCATCAGTAAAAACCGCAACATCCCAAACAAAGAACATTCACTGGATCATCTAACTTCATTCATTGTAAACCGTGTAGCCAGCGGCTGCGAGCGTCGCGCAACGACCACCGATGGAGAGTTCTACATCGACTGTAAGGTATACAAGACTGAAGATGCTCGCCTTACCGACTCCGCTGAGCTGTGGAAGAAAGCACTCATCCGAATGAAGTTCCAGACTGATGTCGACTCTCTACAGTGGCGAAAATTACAAGAGCTCGTGCAGGCGACTGATATTTTGTTTCCAGATAAGCCAATGTTTTATGATAATTAAACGAAGTAGCTAATTTATAGTCGTTTCTTATTTACACTAACAAACCTTTACCGCTTTGGTTACAAGTTAATTTTATATTTTTTTTATTACACACTCACACACATACACACACCAACATCAATCGCCATCGCCTTTTGACATTCGGTGTTAACAGCGAATGCAAACTCGATCGAGTGATCGGTCGAGTCAGTAAGCAAGTGGATAGTAGAGTAGCTAATTTTTAACGAACGATAGAAGTACGGAACAAGTTACTCGTTCCTAATCAAGTACGCAACACAATGAACTGTTCCGTTCGAATTTATCGGTCGAGTAAAGAGTCGAGTCGCTTATTGGTTATTGGGCATTCTATTCCACTATCGGTAGCGAGGCGCACTCGCCGAGCGACTTGCCGATAGTGGAATAGAATGCCCAATAACATACTACTCAAACCCTCCCCCCATGCCTTCTCAGTCCTTAAATACCCGAATTCCTTATCCCCAAAAGGTCGGCAACGCACTCTAATAAGCATAACAGTAACGCGTGATTGAGGTTACCAGAAGCCCTATGCTACAGTCCTAAAATCTGCAAATCCCTAATCCCCAAAAGATCGGCAACGCACTCTTTACACTTCCGTTGTTGCGAATGTCCATGGGCGGCGCTGATTACTTACCGTCAGGTAATAATTCTGCTCGTTTGAAGAGCTATAACATAAAAAAAGGTGTTGAATTTTTTTACAATATTTCCTCCTCAGGAGAAAATCAGTAAATACATTCTGCATGAGAGTTATCCCCCTTATCATTCAGTATTGATAACGAATGTCATTCAGTTGTTATCGAATCTCCGTCAGTGCTATCATTACATAACCTTCAACCTATTCCAAATAGATAAAGAATATTTTTCATAACTTTTTTTAAAGATAGTTATAGCTATCTTCTTCTTATGCAAAAATGCAGTTTTGGTATGTTTTTTTTGGTAGCTTTTGCCCGCGATTTTGTTCGTGTGTAATAGTGACTTCTTGCAGATTTTTGGTGTAAAAACTATCCTATGTCCTTTCTCGAGTTCCAAACTATGTCTGTACCGAATTTCACAGAAATCGGTTCAGTAGTTTAGGCGTGAAGAAAAGACAGACACATTTGAACGTCAAGCAAAAAATAAAAAGAAAATATATTTTAATAAGTTTATATTTATGCGTGTCAGTCTGTCAGTCTGTCCTCTAGTAAAGCTATTTGCTCGTTCCAAAGTGTAGATTCCTATGGAGAAGAATGAGCAAGTAACTCCATGGTTACTCTTTTTCAATCAGTTTTACAATTCATTTCTTTGTTACATCATTTAGTCGGTTCTGATATGTGAGAACAGTGTAACACTAATGTTTAGGCAAAGAATTAGAAAAAGAAGTTAACCTCAAGGACAACGACAGAGTTACTTTCGAATTTATAATATTAGTTTGAAAGTTTGGATTACCTGATGGTAAGCAATCAGCTCCGTCTATGGACACTTTTAATACCAAAAGAGTTACTACAAGTGCGTTGCCGACCTTATGGGGATAAAGGTATAAGAGATTTAGGGATTAGCGAGGGGTTGGAAGAGGGGAAGGATTGGGCCTCCGTTTACCTCACTCACACGGCGAAACAACGTGATTATTGTTTCATGCCGATTTTCAGTGAGGCCGTGGTATAACGCCGGTCGAGCCAAAGCATGACACTACCACACTTAAAATTCTTCGTTCAACAAAAAATACTTATACAAAATACCTGCGAGTATGTGTATAATTTATTTAACGAGACGCGCCCCCAACTAAAATTAACGAATGTTTTGACGTAAGTACTAAAACTACGTAAAATTCTTTACATTATATTACGTATTTATGTATGTATGTATGCATTAGATCCAAAGTTTTCGAGTGTCAGTGAGGTCAAGTACAAATTTATATTCTCAAACGTAAAATAAATCCGCCTTGAGCTAACAACGTAGCGATTCATTCTCAAACCTTTTTCGTGTGAGAAGAAGCCTTTTGCTCAGCAAGGACCACTTATAAGCTGTTATGATAACAATCAGACATTGCTATCAATTCTTCTTAGGCCAACAATAGGTATACCTATGATTTGTTGCTTACATAATTCTTAAGAATTGATTGCTACTTCCTGTCATTCTTTAAAAACATCACATTTGTATGGCACTGAGACGTGGACACTTATAGTGCGAATGATCTACCAATTTAAAGTCGCCCAGCGAGCTATGGAAAGGCCTATGCTTGGAGTTTATCTTTCTCTCGATAAACGGCTGAGAACTTAAGTTATCCAAATAGCCCAATTTCCTATTTTTTTTATTTTTTATTTAATAAGTCGGCAAACGAGCAGACGGATTACCTAATGGTAAGCAATCAACGCCGCCCATGGACAGCCGCAACGGAGGAGTTACGAGTGCGTTGCCGACCTTTTAGGGATTAGGGATTTGGAGATTTAGGGATTGGGGAGGGGTCCGAGAAGGGGAAGGATTGGGCCGCCGGTAACCTCACTCACACGGCGAAACACAACGCTGTGGTTGTTTCACGCCGGTTTTCTGTGAGGCCGTGGTATTACTCCGGTCGAGCCGACCCATCGTGCCGAAGCATGGCTCTCCCACACTTTTTTTTTATTTAAGGCACATCAACAACACAAACTCATACATGGTTATTTTACATTTTATAGGTCTTATTCTAGTGTTAAATATATAAAATGAAACTTACAAAACAAAACTTAATTTACGAAGTGAAAACCAGATGAGTACAATAAAAATAAACTAAATATTGTATGTCAAAAAATATTTAATTAGGTTGCATCACTGCTTTCCATCGGGTAGGATCGCAGTCAAGCACTAGTTTATTGCAAGTAAAAAAAAAATGTTTAATGTTAGTCGATAATTCAGGATTATATATATTAATTAATTCACAGTGAATATAAGTGATTAAGTAATAATTAAATTATGAAAAAATAATATAAAGATAATAATAATAATGATGTCCCATCACATTTAGATTAAAACTGTTCAACGGGCCTCTGCGAGTTGGCTTCGGCTCCTCGTACGCCTTCCAAAAGTCCGGGACCCTGTGGTCCCGTGAGTGGAAAGAACAAGCAAATAATAATGATGTCCCATCACATTTAGATTAAAATTGTTCAACGGGCCTCTGCAAGTTGGCTTTGGCTCCTCGTACGCCTTCCAAAGGTCCGGGATCCTGTGGTCCCGTGAGTGGAAAAGAACAAACATAATAATAATGATGTCCCATCACATTTAGATTAAAACTGTTCAACGGGCCTCTGCGAGTTGGCTTCGGCTCCTCGTACGCCTTCCAAAAGTCCGGGACCCTGTGGTCCCGTGAGTGGAAAAGAACAAACATAATAATAATGATGTCCCATCACATTTAGATTAAAACTGTTCAACGGGCCTCTGCGAGTTGGCTTCGGTTCCTCGTACGCCTTCCAAAAGTCCGGGACCCTGTGGTCCCGTGAGTGGAAAGAACAAACAAATAATAATTAATTCTGTACAACAATGACAAAATATGAAACAAAACAAATATATCACCAATTACTACAAGTGAGTTTCCTTTCTCTTTTGGGTTTTTAAGGATTTACGGATATTTGACTTGATGATAGAGGAGGGCGAGGCATTGAGCCTCCGGTAACCTCAGTCACACCCCGAAACATAACTCTTCGACTTCGACCCATTCGTGCCGAAGCATGGCTCTCTCAAAATTATACTTATTTTTAATTGCCATATTTTTTCCAGATCGTCTCCCCTACTCCATAAGGGTACTCCTGGAGTCTTGCGTGAGGAATTGTGATGGCTTCCAAGTTCTGCAGAAGGATGTCCAGAACGTACTGGAGTGGGAAACCAATCAGGCTGTCGAAGGGGGCGTTGAGATCGCCTTTAAGCCGGCCAGGGTCATTTTGCAGGTGAGATTTTTATTCTTCTGTTGTGCCACCGGTTGTTGTGTTTGATTGTGGACACCCGTTAACACCCATTAGTTTAACTGGGTGTAAATTGACACTTGAGTGCCTGTCTTCAGAACGGGTCTTCTTAAACTGGTGTGGTTCTTTCCTCAAAAGACCACTACAGAATGAACTTGCACGGTTCTCTCACATTATGTTATTTTTACATTGTCTGGACTTGAAAAGAGACTGACCTCTGAGTTTGTTTCGGCATTTCTTCTCAGAGAAGTCAGATAGCTATAATTTCGGTGTTAAACTTTAATGAATGCATGGTTTTCGCTGTGGCTGGGCAACTGGCTGCCGCGCAACGTGTCCCGACTTCGATTCCCGCACGGAACAACTCTTTGTGTGATCCATAGATTGTTCTTTTTGAGTCTGGGTGTCATGTGTATGTGAAATTTTATGTTTGTAAACTCACCCAGGACACAGGAGAAAATCCTAATGTGGAGCAAAGTTTTTTTTTTATAAAGATTTTTACCATTGACTTCTCGAATGATGTTCTTTGTGTGATCATCATCATCATCATCAATCAAAAGACGGCCTTTGTGGATTAAGGTTTCGGAGATTTAGAGATTGGGAGTGACTCTATGATGTCACTCCGATTGATACACTCCAAGCTTACGTGAAAAATTACTCCTTTCCAGGATCTCACAGGTGTACCAGCTGTGGTAGACTTCGCAGCGATGCGTGATGCTGTAAAGGATCTGGGTGGAGATCCGCAGAAGATCAACCCGATCTGCCCAGCTGACCTTGTCATTGACCATTCAGTCCAAGTTGATTTCGCTAGAAGGTATGTATATCAAAGCCAATAAGTGTCCACTGCTGAGCAAAGGCCTCTTCTCACGCGGAGAAGGTTTGAGCATTAATAACAACGCTTGCTCAAGGCGGATTGACGATTTGAAACTGAAACTTATATTTAGAAATTACAAGTCCAGGTTTCCTCACGATGTTTACCTTCACCGTATGTCAATGGTGTCTAAATAATCATAGAAAGTACATATAACTCGGAAAAAGTCACATTGGTATTTATTAGCCAGGTTTTGAACTAGCTCGTTCAAGCATAATAAGGGGGGGCCTTGACCTTCCAGCCACCAAGAGTTTCACATCAATCCTGGGAGGAGGGGGGATACCTCAAGTATAAAATTTGATGACGTTTCCCTCCTTACAGTCCAGACGCTCTGAACAAGAACCAAGAATTGGAATTCGAGAGGAACAAGGAACGGTTCCAGTTCCTCAAATGGGGGGCTCAGGCCTTCGACAATATGCTGATCGTGCCACCTGGTTCCGGAATTGTCCACCAGGTATGTAGCCATGTGGGGATGTGGGAGTAAGCCCTATAAGGTACCCGCGACCTTGGCCTGAAGCAGGAGAAGGAACGGGCTGGTTTATAGCCAGTAAGAGTCTGACACTCCTTTTCGCCACTATACATGCTGATGGTAAGCAATCAGCGCCGCCCATGGGCAGTCGGAGTACCAAAGGAGTTACTACAAGTGCGTTGCCGGCCTCTATTGTGGGTTTTTAGAGATTTAAGGATAGGGGGATTTGATGATTTAGTCATCAAATACCCTATCGTTTCGCAACAACGGAAGTGTTAAGATTGCGTTGCCGACATTTTGGAAATTAGGGATGTGTAGATATTTGGAATGGGGGAGGAAAAGGATTGGGCCTCCGGTAACTTAACTCACACAGCGAAATACAACGCTGTGGTTGTTTCACGCTGGTTTTCTATGAGGCCGTAGTATCACACCGGTCGAGCCGACCCATTTGTGCTAAAGCATGGCTCTCTCAAACATTTTTGTTCTAAGTTTTTGAGTAACTAAGGGCTGATTTTTTAACAGTCAGATAAATTAATTATGTATTATATTTTCGGCTTACTAACGTAATAATTTGACGAGATACTCGAATAATTTCAAGACATGCTAGAGGCCCATATTCATAATCGAATAAAGTCAGATAAATGTTATCTGAGGAATAAAATTGTTGCAGTCACTGTCTTATACAAACATTCTGACGCGACATCATCATAATTATTCTTAGTATAATAATAATAGCCTATCTATTGGATTAGGGCATGTTATAATGGTTGATTTTGATAAGATTTTCTTAAATATTTTTTTTTCCATTTTCAGGTTAACTTGGAGTACCTGGCTCGCGTGGTCTTCAGCAAGGATCTCCTCCACCCTGACTCCGTGGTAGGCACAGACAGTCACACGACCATGATTAACGGCCTCGGGGTCGTCGGATGGGGTGTTGGTGGTAAGTGAAAAACATTCATCATCAGCCCATAAGTGCCCACTGCTGAGCAAAAGCCTCTTCTCACACGGAGAAGGTTTGAGCATTAATCACCACGCTTGCTCGATGCGGGTTGGCGATTTTAAACTTATAATAAGAAATTATAAGTCGAGGTTTCCTTGCGTAGTTATCCTTCACCGTATGTCAGCGGTGTCTAAATAACCATAGAAAGTACATATAACTCGGAAAAAGTCACATTGGTACTTGCCAGGTTTCGAACCCCTCATGCATGAGAAGCGGGCTCCTTAACCTCCGGGCCACCACCACGTCGATGTCGTGAAACCATTAATATTTCCATAACCACTACGATTTTCACAATGATATCTCGGATGCCGCCTATATTTTTCGTACATTTTACGCCACTATCCCACCGACGTTAATGCTTGCCACGCGACAACGCGGCGTTGACGCTGCGTAAACACGACGTTGACGTCAATGCTAGTAAAAAGCCTCAACGCATCTTTAAAAGCAAGTTACATATTTTTATTATTACTTTCGTGAGACATTCTAAATTAATTATTATGTTTTCGGCTTACACACGATTTAAGTCTAACACACCTTCTCGCCGCACCCTGGGCAGGAGAAGTCATTTGAAGACTTTATAATATTTCCTTCCTAAAAAAACAACCCGCAACCCCGCCTAGGATTGAAAACTGTTAGATTTCATTATCAGCTAATTTTATTAACTTTGTCCTACCCAGGAATCGAAGCCGAAGCAGTAATGTTGGGACAGGCGATCAGTATGCTGTTACCCAAAGTGGTTGGATACAAACTCGTCGGGGAACTGAACCCGCTAGCCACGTCCACTGATTTAGTTCTTACCATCACCAAGGTAAGATCTTCTTGAATAGATAAGAAGCTTAAATTTATTCTTTTTATTTAAAACTAGCTACTCTCGCGCGGTTTCACCAGCTTCTCAGCTCCATTTGACCGTAGCGTGATGTTTTATAGCCTATAGCACTCAGGAACATTGTAGCTATCTATCAGTGAAAGAATTTTGGCAATCCGACCAGCGGTTCCAAAGATTACCCCCTACATACAAACTTACAAATTTTACCTCTTTATAATATTAGTATAGACAACCTCGTACCCGCGGCTTTGCTCCCGTCATTTGACTACCTACACTACCCAACCTAGTTACCTACCTAAACTATCTTATCTACCTTATCTTACCTACCCTACCTTATCTTAACTACTCTACCCTACTCTACGTTTCCTACCCTATCTACCCTACCCTTCCTACTCTACCCTTCCTACTCTACCCTTCCTACTCTACCCTTCCTACTCTACCCTTCCTACTCTACCCTTCCTACCCTACCCTTCCTACCCTCCCTTACCTACCTACACTACCTAACCTACCCTTCCTACCCTAACTTATCTTACGTACCCTACCCTACTCTACGTATCCTACCCTATCTATCCTACTTTTCCTACCCTAGTTTACCTACCCTACCCTACTATAAATATTACGGTTAATCATACATCGAATTTCATTAAAATCTGTTCAGTAGTTTCAGTTACATGGTGTTATTTTTATTTTATTTTTTATAAAATTAAAGTTGCACCACACTTTTCTCCTGTGTCGTGGGTGTGTTAACTTATTATCTATATTATTACATCCAGACCCGAAACAACGATTTGTGGATCACACAAAGAGTTGTTCCGTGCGGAAAATTTAACCCGCGAGACTAGCTAGTTGTTCTTGTAAATCCGTCTTGTCCACAGCATCTTCGGTCCTTGGGTGTAGTGGGTAAGTTCGTGGAGTTCTATGGCCCCGGAGTGTCGGCCTTGAGCATCGCTGACAGGGCGACTGTAGCAAACATGTGTCCAGAATTCGGTGCCACGGTCGCGCATTTCCCCGTCGACGAGCGATCTCTACAGTATCTGTGTCAGACTAGTAAGTTGGTTTTTGGTTTTTAATAAAATAAGTCGGATAACGACTTGATAACCTGATGGTAAGCAATTAGCGCCGCCCATGGATACTCGTAATACCAAAGTTAGGGTTATAGGGGATTTGAGGATTGAGCATTTGGGGAGGGGAAGGGGGATTGGGTCTCCAGTAACCTCAGTCACACGGTAGAATATAATGCTGTGGTTGTGTCACGCCGGTTTTCTGTGAGGCCGTGGTATCACTCCGGTCGAGCCGACCCCTTCGTGCCGAAGCATGGCTCTCCCACAAAAAGTCGTTGTTAAAAGTCAATTACAATTCGGTAGTTTCCAACTATAGTCAGAATTTTAATTCGAGTCCTGATTTGACATGATCTACTGTCATTTTGGGAAATAATGATACCACATATAACAGTGTAGTGATGAACACAAAAATCGATAAACAATCAGTGAATCAGTTTCAGGAAGGCATTCAAAAAATTACGGCTACCGAATGGTCTAAATGTGTATCTCATGTTGTCAAAGAAGAGGAAAAAATGAGTAAGCTAGATATGTTAATTGACAATAAATATCACAGACACAATTCATAATAAATGTTACAGAAAGTAACAGGGATAGCGAAAGCGATGACGGCGACAGTTTATAAAATTTCTGTTTTATTTGTCATGTCCCTTCATGATCACATTTTTTATTAATTTCACACACAATTACAAAAGAAAAGTCTCAGATCGTTAATTAATTGTCAAAACTAAATTATCGGTTCAGAAATATGTTATTTCCTGATAAACTTAGTTTACGAGATTAAGTTTATAAAAGAGAGGAATCGATTCAGAAATATTCGATTTCCATATCGAATAATTTCGCAACGTCACTATTTATTACGTGTCATAACGTTGCAACACTGAAATTGTCAAATCTGGAATGGAATTAAAATTCCGAGTATAGTCAAATTCAATACTTTTATCCAAATGTCAAAAACTATACTTTTCTATGTAACTTGTATAAAACACTACACTGAGTTATGACGTCATAGTACATATTTTTGCGTCAAATAGCTTACTTATTTCTTAGAAATTAAGTAGAAAATATCCTAAACTTAGCGTATCGATCGATCGATGAATAAAAGTTTAAGTTATTTTTTTAATATTTCATTCTATTGAAACGTCGAATTAATTTATTTTTGACCTAGGAAACTACACAATTAGACTATATAGGGTGACTGACAGTGACATATATTTAAACATATATTCAAACATATATTTATTTATTTGATTGTACTCATTATAAAAAATAACTTTCCCAGAGATACTATTTTTCTATACTCATTAGTTTTAGATTTTGACTAGCCTTTGCCTCCGTTCGCGTGTAATAGTGACTTCCTGCAGATTTTTGGTATAAAAACTCAATCCTATGTCCTTTCTCGAGTTCCAAACTACGTCTGTACCAAATTTCACAGAAATCGGTTCAGTAGTTTAGGCGTGAAGAAAGGACAGACAGACAGATAGAGATACTTTCACATCTATACTTATAATAAATCTGTAGAGAGGTCAATTCTGTACATTAAATATATTTTCAAAATAATTACCAGGGTGTGATAAGTGATCGACACTGATGCCAAAAATGCAATCAGTAAGATTTTTGTCTGTCTGTCTGTCTGTATGTTCTTTATAGAAACAAAAACTACTCGACGGATTTTAACAAAACTTGGTACAATTATTCTTTATACTCCCGACTTAAGACAGACAGACAAAGTTACTTTCGCATTTATAATATTAGTTTGGATTTGATTTTCTGTTTAATTTGCTTCTGGTAAAATTGACGGCCACCCATCTATTTTCAGACCGCTCCAAGGAGAAGATAGCCATCATTGAAGCGTACCTTCGCGCCACGAAGCAGTTCCGGGATTACAATAATCCCGCACAGGACCCTATTTTCTCTGAAGTATGTATAATGTAGGATTTTAATATCATAAATTTGTATTTAACTTGAATATAGTCTATAGTAGGGGAGCCCAGGATGCTAAATTTGTGGTTACTCAAGCGTCGTAAGGAGTAACTGAATTCTGAAGATTATAAAAAGAAAAAATGTCTCAGTGAAAGAAAGAAAGAAAGAAAAAGTATTTATTCGCGTCTGGGACGCATAAAAGACACAAAACGAACAAGATAATAAAATAAAGTTAAAATAAAAATACATTGAGCAAGGTAAAAACAATATCACAAAAGTAGACGGCAGGAGAAAAATATGCGTCCAAGCACGCGAAATGGCCCACGCTCAGCATAATGCAGCGACCCCGTACGAGACGGGGTCGCTGCGCTGATTTTCAGCGATGGCCGACAGTAACGCATGACGCCAATCTGCGCAGAAACTTAAGATAAGAAAATAAGTATTTAACTTATTTTCTACTGAAATATGTTTTTTATAATTGTTTGAATAATAAACTACTAAAAAAAAAAACAAACCGCTTATGATAAAAAAATAGAGTAAAAAAAAAACCAGAAAAATAAAGTACCAAATAATAGACGCCTATGTGACATTTGTCAGTGGCAACACTGAACGAATGAAAGCGACGCTCGCGCTTCCAATCCATTCGATCTGTGCATTCGATCAAAAAGTCTATTCACTATTCTCTGTCCACGTGCCACAAACAATTATTTATTATAGTAATTTACAATTTGTATTTGTATTACGTAATGGCGACGCATACCAATAATTATTATGCAATCCGTCATATAAATCGTCATATAATGACATTTCATTCCTCCGGTGGGGGAAGGGGGGCATGATAGTTTTCGAAAATTGTGACGTGTAACTTTTGTTTTAGTGCACGAGCGTGACAGATATTAATAATGTATTTCTGACAGTGAAAATATTTTTTCTGCCGAATTGCGTAGTGGGGTTGGCTAACTAAGGGGAGAGAAACGGGACCCGTTCAAAACTCTATTGCTGTTGTAAACGACGATGAAATTGGCAGATTTTTTAAACGCCTTTTCTTTGACATGACGTATATCGTGTGTGTGTCGTCTTCACAACGAGCTCCTTCACGAACATAGCAAAGAATTAGATATATTTGATCATAGATTTTTTAAATTCAAATATAAAATAGGTCGAATTATGTCAAAATTGAAATTCTTATTGTAATTTTTATTCTTCTAATTAAATTTATAATAGTATTTATAATTAATTATATTTAATTAATTAATAACTCAATATTACAATATTCAATTAATCAATCAATCTAATTCAAATATCAATTAATTTAATTAAGTTATTAAATATTTTATATTATAACACTTCCTGCATAATATAATTGCTTAATAATCATGCAGTGTACACATGTGTAGGGATGCGGTCTTGATCTGTTTTACTTATTTTATAGATATTCTGTAACGTTATTGATTGTATCCTGTTTTGTGTGCCTATTAAAATAAATAAATAAATAAATATCTTTTCCCCCCTAATCTGACGAAAACGGCTACAACGGAATTTAGTTATTTTTTTTTATATTGTTATCCCCCCCCCCTCCGCTGTTTACATTAAGTATATGATGGATATATTCAATAGGTTACTAAATATTCCCCATATGTTAATCTGACGCGCTCGAGTAACTACCGAAATTCCTTAATGGGCTCCCCTACTAACTAAGTCAGGAATGGGGTGTTTTTAGTCAGTAAGAGTCTGACACTCTCTCTCGCCTTACCCTGGGCGGGAGAAGTCATTTAATGATTTTTCTTGCCCTACTACCCCCTCTAAAAAAGCAGCAATTCATTAATTTCATTTCTTTATCAATAACTAGCTCTTACCCGCGGCGTCGCTCGCGTCATTTTAGTACTTACCCTACTCTATCTACCCTACTCTACCTACCCTACTCTAACTACCCTACTCTACCTACCCTACTCTACCTACCCTACTCTACCTACCCTACTCTACCTACCCTACTCTACCTACCCTACTCTACCTACCCTACTCTACCTACCCTACACTACCTACTCTACACTACCTACCCTACTCTACCTACCCTACTCTACCTACCCTACTCTATTTACCCTACACTACCTACCCTACTCTACCTACCCTACTCTACCTACCCTACTCTACCTACCCTACTCTACCTAACCTACACTACCTACTCTACACTACCTACCCTACTCTACCTACCCTACTCTATTTACCCTACACTACCTACCCTACTCTACCTACCCTACTCTACCTAACCTACACTATCTACCCTACTCTATCCTATCCTATGTCCTTCTCCTGGCTCTAAACTACCTCCCTGCCAATTTTCAGCTAAATCGGTGCAGCCGTTCTTGAGTTATAAGTGGTGTAACTAACACGACTTTCTTTTATATATATAGATTTCTTAATTTTTCCAGGTAGTGGAATTGGATCTTTCGACAGTGGTGACATCTGTTAGCGGACCGAAGCGTCCTCAGGATAGAGTGTCCGTCTCCGTGATGAAGAAGGATTTCCAGGACTGTTTGACGAACAAGGTTAGTGATTAGAATCAATAATTAACTTCTTAATTCATTTATTTAGGTATGTAAGTTTAAGTGTGGGAGTGCCATGCTTCGGCACGAATGGGTCGGCTCGACCGGAGTGATACCACGGCCTCACAGAAAACCGGCGTGAAATAACCACAGCGTTGTGTTTCGCCGTGTGAGTGAGGTTCGACCGGAGGCCCAATCCTTCCCCTTCCCCAATCCCTCCTAAATCCCTAAATCTCCAAATCCCTAATCCCTGAAAGGTCGGCAACGCACTCGTAACTCCTCCGTTGCGTGTGTCCATGGGCGGCGCTGATTGCTTACCATCAGGTAATCCGTCTTCTCGTTTGCCGACCTATTAAATAAATAAAAAAAAAACAAAAAACTTTCCACAATTTAATTAATATGAGAAAATAAATTAATATGGAATGTGGTGGTGGCCCGGAGGTTAAGGCGCCCGCTACTCACGACTTCATTTCATTGAGTACAAAAAAGCATAAACAAATAAATAAACATTATTAACATAACAATAGTTACTTAACCTAATGCTGATGATTAATGATTACCAGTAATGGCAATCACAGGACCCAGTGACAGACTGATAACATGTCTACTGAGTGAGTGACAACCATTACTGAGTAACACACACAAATACAGATAGTCATACAAAAAAAAATCTTCATTATCGTTGATAATTTCTCTTGATGATGATGATGATGATGTGACTTTATCAGTGCATCACTGTCATCACATACCCAGTGACAGATAAGACACAGTGTCTACTGAGTGAGTGACAACTGAATCACACTGTTAAGACTGTAGATTTTTTTGTAGATACTGATGATGAATGACAAAGAGTAATGGCAATCACTACACCCAGTGACAGACTGATAAACGTGTCTACTGAGTTAGTGACAGCCACTACTGAGTGACACAATAAGGATAATGACCTGCTGAAATGATTATTATGTGGTGATAAATGACTATGGTCTATTGGTTTAGGTGGTTAACTAAAGGTAAACAATGTTGGTATGTGTTTTTATATTAAAGAGTTCGTATAAAATACATACAAAGATTATTTAAATTTAGTTTATTAGCTAACATCGATTTAGGTAATTAGCTGATTGACATTCAATTTTTAGATAAAAAGACATGCCAAGATTGTTTACATTAAGTTAATTACCTAAACCTATAGACCATACCAGTAGTGGTTATTACAGCACCCAGTGACAGACTGATACACTAGTCTACTGAGTAAGTGACAACCATCACTGACACCCGGTTTCTTAAAAGGCCTGTCAACGCTAAAATTAACTAATCTCCTGTTAAATCTCTTGTCAAGTCATCTAATTGGTTGTTGATAATTCAGTCAACCAATCAGATGACTTGACAAGAGATTAAATTGATTTTAACATTGATCGGCCTTTCGGAAACCGGGTGTTAGTAAGACACTGATAGTCACAAACACAGAAAGTAGTATTTAAGTGAATACAGACAAATAAAAAGATATTATTTATTATATTAGTTGAGCAATATCACTCAGCAACTGATGTCACAGAACCCAGTGACAGAATTAAAACATGTCTACTGAGTTAGTGACAGTCACTACTGAGTGATACAAACGAGTTATTAGACGAAGGATTGGGCTTCTCCTAATCTCACTCACACGGCGAAACACAACCGATTTTCTGTGAGGCCGTGGTCTCACTCTGGTCGAGCCGTCCCATTCCTGCAGAAGCTTGGCTCTCCCACACTTAAAATACATGAATCATTTAGTATATAATTAATTTGCAATTGTTATTGATGATAATACGGGTATTTTCCTACTGATCCTAGTGTGATGTTTTATAGCCTATAGCCCTCCTCGATAAATAGACTATCCAGCACAAAAAGAACTGTTTAATTGGCACCAGTATTTCTGGATCATGTTCAAACAAAGTACAGCTTTATTTATATCTATAGAATCGGCACGGCTTCGCAATGCTGCAATGTTTGTAACAAATTTTTCTCCACTATTTAATAGATGTCATTATACATATAAACCTTCCTCTTCAATCACTCTATCTATTAAATAACCGCATCAAAATCCGTTGCGTAGTTTTAAAGATTTAAGCGTACATAGGGATATAGGGACAGAGAAAGCGACTTTGTTTTATACTATGTAGTGATATCGGTATAGATTAGTAGTTATAATTCCAACGATGATTCCACTGGTAATCACCAGTAATAGTTATCTCTACACCCAGTGACAGACTTATAACATGTCTACTGAGTCAGAGAGAACTGCTACTGAATGACACTACTGATGATTTAACAACAATAAATACACAAAAGCAAACATCACTCAGTAATTAATATCACAACACCCAGTGACAGGCTTGTAACATGTGTCTACTGAGTGAGTGATAACCACTACAGACTGAGTGACACAACTGCGTGGTGTCTTAAAAAGTCTCCAGGTCCTTCACTTATTGACCTCAAAATATTACCGTATCATAATTTTTGGACAGTATCTATAACGGACATATAACGGACTATATATAATAGACAGTATGTAAAAACGTTATTGTTATAAACTCAATTGATTTATAACAATAACGTTTTTATAATAACTATCGTGAGACATACTAAATTAACTAAAAATCGCGGGTTACTCACGTGTATATATTGAGAAAAGCTCTACTAGTTTCGCTGCTCATGAGGAAGAACCTCTCTGTGGTTTGAAACTAGTAGAGCTTTGCTCAATATATACACGTGAGTAACCCTCGATTTTTAGTTAATATAACAATAACGATTGAAAATAACGGATTACTTACGTTAATAAACTGAAAAAAGTTTACTAGTTGGTTGCCCGACGTCGGTGTGACACGTACGCTAGTAATGAATAAGATTCCTGTAATGACTTGAATATTTCTGATGATCAATCCTTACACGTCGTGCTGATAGTCATCAGTAGTGGTTATCACAGCACCCAGTGACAGAATGACAACTTGTCAACTGAGTGAGTGACAGCCATTATTGAGTGACACAACTGAATAGTCGCTAAACCACGCGAGATAATGACCATGAATATCCTTTTGTGTCTTGTATATCGACATTCAACCTCTTAAAAGCCGCGTCAGTCTCATACATTATTACCAAAAGCCTCTTTAGTCGTACTGGCAGTCATCAGTGATGATTATCAAAGTACCCACTGATAAAATGATTAATTAACTAGTCGACTGAGTAAGTGAAACTGGCTAAATTAAATCGTTATTTACAAGAAATAGTTTAAAATGATGATGACTGAATGCTGATGATGAATGTCACTGAATAACATAAATCTTATGATGATTTGTGTCTACCAGTAGTGGTTATCACAGCACCCAGTGACAGACTGATAACATGTCTACTGAGTGAGTGATAGCCGCTACTGAGTGGCACAACTTAATAACCGCTTAAGGGGCTCAAATATCACACAATTTGTACACAATAACACAAAATATTATTAATTGACAACACTTACTGATGTCGCACTGGTAGTCACCAGTAAAAGTTATCACAACACCCAGTGACATACTGACAACATGTCTACTGAGTGACTGACAACTGTTACTGAGTGACACGACTGATTATTTAATTCACAGCAATCACAAAAGTAAACTCCACTCAGTAATTGTTATCTCAGCACCCAGTGACAGACTGGTAAATGTCTACTGAGTGAGTGACAACCACTACTGAGTGGCAAAAGCGTCTAATTTCGCACAATTAGTTCACAAAACAACAAAAGCATACCATTTTGTCTAAATTATTACGTAAATCTCTACTGATGTTTACTGATCAGCTGTAGTGGTTATCACAGCACCCAGTGACGAGATGACACACTGTCTACTGAGTGAGTGATAGCCACCACTGGACCGTACATTTTAATTGCTATTTACATAAAAAAGCCTTTGATATCACACAAATGTTAAGTGATGGTAAGTGTCGATCAGTAATGATTGTCACAACACCCAGTGACAGAATGAAAACTTGTCTACTGAGTGTATGACAACCGCTACTGAGTGGCACAACTATACAATTTGAACAAATTAAAACAAAGTATTATTAATTGTCAACAATTACTGACGGCGTACTGGTAGTCACCATGAATGGCAATCACTACACCCAGTGACAGACTGATAACATGTCTACTGAGTGAGTGACAGCCGCTACTGAGTGACACTACTGAGTAATCGCTTAAAAAGCTCAAATATTGCACAATTTGAATACAATAACACAAATTATATTATGATGTGCACTGGTCAGCTAAAGTGGTTATCACAGCACCCAGTGACAGAATTACAACTTGTCTACTGAGAGAGTGATAGCCACCACCTGGACCGTACATTTTAATTGCTATTTACATAAAAAAGCCTTTGATAGCACACAAATATTTAGTGATGGTAATTGTCGATCAGTAATGATTATCACAACACCTAGTGACAGACTGATAACATGTCTACTGAGTGACAACCACTACTGAGTGAGTCACAAAAAATAAAATCATTCAAAAACTACTCAGTAACTGATGTCACAGTACCCAGTGACAGACTTATAACATGTCTACTGAGTAAGTGACAAGCGCTACTGAGTACAATTTATACAAATAATTAAAATGATTACTGATTGGTGATTAATGATTCTACCAGTAATGGTAATCACAGCACCCAGTGACAGACTGATAACATGTCTACTGAGTGTGTGACAACAACTACTGAGTGACACAACTGAGTAGTGACTGAAAAGCTGTGAATGACACACAATTCGATTACAATATAACATCAAATTATTAATGATTAATGATAACATCAAAATTGGAGCCTATATCAACTAATCTAAGTGTAGAAGAGCCATGCTTCGGCACGAATCGGTCGGCTCGACCGGAGTGATGCCACGGCCTCACAGAAAACCATCGTCAAACAACCACAGCGTTGTTTCGCCGTGAGAATGAGGTTACCGGAGGCCCAATCTCTCCCCCTCCCACATCC